TTATTTGTAAAATTCCGCACCACACACAATGCCCAGCTGGCACATAATAGGTTTCCATAAACATCAGTTAAATAAAAACCAGTTAATGAATGGATGAAGAAAGAAACTTACTATAAATGTTTGTTGTAAGGTACTGCAACTTTGAAGAAAACATCATGACCTGCCAATTGAATCACAAACATGAATGACATATCAGAAGGTTTAAAATTCTGATCAAGGATACAGGACTAGGAAACCTAGAGGGCTCGAAGTGGAAGGAGGCACAGCTCTACAAAGGGACAGCTGGAAACACAGAAAACAAACAGAACGCTTCATACTTCACAGCTTTGTCAAGGGAAGGTTCTGTTTACCATCAGCTGGGAGGAGACAAATAGCAGCTTTGTGGAATTATGTTTGGTGTGTTTGGTGCCAATAGGCAGAGTTGAGTTTCCAAGAATGTTTGTGATTTATTGGATAACTTAAACATTCTTACATAATTTTTTTTTCCTTCAAAAAATCTTTGCCACTACCTTGGCCATTTTTCATTCTTAACAATAGATTGTTAAGCCTGTTTGAAAGCTTGGGAATACAAAATTTAATCTAGTGTCAAGCCCTGGAAAAAAAAAATTATTTTAGCCAATACCTGTGCTTTGAAATATCAAATTTTATGAAAATTTAATCCTGGAATAGAGAAAGCAGAATCAAATTATAAATCTACTTTTTTAGAAGATGCCATGAATTTCCTGGAGGAGCACTTATAAATTCAGATTATATAGAAAAAAAAATTCTTGATTATTCTGAAAACATGTGGCATGCATTGCTTTCTAATTGGTTCATTTTCCAAGTTTTGATAACATAGCCCCCTTTGCCAAATATGTACATCAATATTTATTCGGCTAATCAACCGGTACCCAATTAATAATTCGACACCAACTTATTTTATTACTTTTCTCTGGCTAATCTATTACAGCAAAGATTTATTAGTTTTGCATAAGTAAAGCCTCCTAACCCCTTATCATTTCCACCCTGGCAACTCAGACATTAGAGTGATGAGTGGTCAGTGATAAGAAGAAGAGGAGCCGAGAGCGGGGAAAGAGAAAACAGACAAGGCAGGTGTTACCAAAAAATTTAGGACAGTAGCCTATGGTTGTTAAAATTCGGACTCAGCATCTGAGTTCTAAACTCTGTTCTACCACTGAGTGACTTCAGCATCAGTTCCTTCAGCTATAAAGTAAATGAGCTGGATTCAACTACTGCTAAGTTTCCCCCTGGCTCTCAAGTTCTGTACCACTCTCTTGGGTTTTAAGACCTCTCTTCCTTTCAGCTGAAACCCCCTCTTAAAAAAATAAGATATCACTATTTGCTTTGGCCCAAATATCACTGACCACAAGCATCATCTCTAGCTACATCCTGGAAAGACCAGAAGCCCCAACAATGCCTTAAAACTGGCATCTTCCTGGGCTTCCTGGGCTCAGTCGGTTAAGCGTCTGCCTTCAGCTCATGTCATGATCTCAGAATCCTGGGATCGAGTCCTGCATCGGGCTCCCTACTCTGTGGAGAACCTGCTCCTCCAGCTCCTTCTGCTCCTCCCCCTTCACTGTGCGCATGTGCACACACACACTCTCTCTCTGCACTGAATACATAAAGCATAAAACAAAACAAAACAAAAAACAAAATCCTGGCATCTCCCATATCCAAAAGGGAACATGGGCTGGAACACACAGTCACAAGGACTACCCTTGCAGACTTCAAAAATGAGGCCTGCACATGTCTACTTTGTCAAACAGCCTGGCTGACTTTTGACCTGACTTCTTCTTATTTGAAGCGGCTTACTGACACTGCCAATTACATCACACATAATCGAACACACATCTTGTCACCGAACCACAGATAGTGCCACGCAACATAAAGGCTCCGGGAAATACATCCTTAAAACGTAAACCGCTCACACAGAAGAGCTACCGAAGGATCTGAAAGTACATACGCAAACGGCTCCTCTGAGGTTAAATGGTCACAGTTTAGGATTCTTCAGGGGCTGCTGCCACGCACTTGCTTTTAAAAGCTTCAGTAGCTTCTTAAGACATCACATGAAACAAAAGGCCACATCTATTTCCTCCAATAAAGAGCTAGCCCAATATTCCTGGGTATGTTTAGGACATAGAAATAAAGCATGCCTTCCAGAGGTTGGAAAAAAAAAGAAAAACAGCCTTTTAGAATTAGTTTAGGCACCACTCCAATCTGAACCTTGTACCGTCCTTTTCAATCGCTGCAGAGAAACAATTAATAAAGGAACCCATTAAGCCGTGATTATTGCTGCTAAAAAAGGAAGGTAGAATTTCAGTCCTTTGAAGTAACTGAGAATGATTCAGGCCTCATTACAGAGATATAATCTACATTCATACATTTATGTTAGTGATTCAAATCTATTGGGAGAGATTGAATTCCGTTAAATAGTGCATCTTTCCTGTGGAACTTTTCTCAGGCTTTCTCGGGGTAACCTCAGAGGTGACCTAACAATGCAAAGCAGAGGAGTATTTAGGGATTCAGCTGTGCTATAAAAGAAAGGCTGTACAGAAAAGAAAAAGAAGAATGAGATATAATCTAAAAAGCTATGTCAGCTTTTCCTTTGGGCTGTTTTGTGAATGCCCTTCCTGTCATCACGCTGTACAGAAGAACGGCGAAAGGACTGTAGAAGTTTTAAACACTGCACCTGCTGCAACTAGATTTTAATATGGAAGTCTGACGATGTGTTTTTTTCCCATTTCAAACAGAATGAAAATATGAAACTTCTCACAAAGAGCCCAACAGCTTTCTCTGTTGGAGCAGAAAGTCAGTAGATGTGGGGGTGAGGGGAATAGAGGGGGGACTACCTTCAGGGTAGGAGGGGGTGTCTTTTGTGAGTCTAAAAAAAATTAAGAGGATCTCAAGCTGGCATCAATAGTGTTGATGTCCAGTGTAGAGAAACCTCAAAATTACAACTTCCTATATTTTATAACTTTTTACTGCAGAATCTTTACTGTATGGTTTCATCAAACATTAAAAAAAAAACATGCAGTTTTAATTAGTTTTGTCAGTTCAAACATTTGGATTCTACTGAACAGTTGGACTGAAACTCAAATCCCTTAGAAACACTACGCTTTCTTCCAAGCATTCGTTAGGTCAGGTATAAAACTGTGAACTAGAAAATTAAAATTAGCACAGTGATTTCATTTTTAAACAGCCAAGCTTTAATGAAAGAACAAAACTTCGAGCATACGAATGACGTATGTTCTTTATTTAAGTTTCCAATTAATGCTACAAAAATCAAAACTAATTGTATTAAATTAAAAAAACCTACTGTGCTATTCACCACATTGTCAAAATCTTTTCAGTAAGCATTGCAATTGGTTATAAACAAATGCAATTAAAATCCTGATTCTAGCATTACATGGTTCTATTTCAAAGGCTCTGAATGCATAGGAAAGTATAAGCAGATGCAAGTAGTCATTTTTTTCAGGTCACTAAACAACGTAATTGGGCAATTATTGCTAATGCCCATCGCTAAAGTTAGATTTTTTATTTCTCTGTATTTTCTCCTCTTCACAATGAAGACTAAGGTCAAATGCACATTGTAGGGATTCTGGCTTGTTGTATATACAGACACCAGCCCCTCTGATTAGCTCCCTTCCAATTACAGTTACAGAGGTCAAACTCCCAAGTTCACCTTGAAGCGATTCTCCATCTTAGAACAGCAGTCTAACTATTAAGTTGAAGCATATGAAATTGCCGCTCTGGAAGGTCAAAAAATAGAAAATGCAGCAATTTCATATGCTTCGACATAACACTAATGTTTAACTGCCTTACAGAACACAAATATTTGACGCCATGACATCTTCAGTTCCTCCTCCCAGTCAAGCCTTCCCTACCCAGTACACAGCAATTCTTGTAGGGATCCTCTTGGAACTATCTCTTACTGGGATCAGAACCGATTATCACAGTTATCTGCGTCTCGTGCCTCTTAATTCTTGGCAAGGCTTCCTAGCCAAGGATTTGGTTCTATCTATACCTGGATTGTGAGCATTGCTAGCGACCCGGTGAGGGTGAGAAGGAGGGAGAACGGGTAGTGCAGCTCTATCCTAAAATAGAGCCCTCTTGACATTAAATGTAAGGATAGAAAAAAGAAGGACGCCCCTATTATGGCCAAGTGCAAAGGAAATCGCATGGAAAACAGCAGAACATTCGGCCAAAGCCTACGGGTAAATCTTCGCAATTTCAGTAAAGTGCGTTCGCTTTGAAGTGCACGCGTGATTCAGTAAAGGGCTCATGCTAGCAATTAGAAACTGGTCCTTTCGGTCCCCTGTTTCATTTGCGCCAAGGGAGAGGCGACTTTTAAGGGTGACGATAAATCTCCCTCAGCTTAAAAGGCAGAGAGGGCCAAAGTGTGAACTTTTTACTTCAGCAACGGAAGCGAGAAACCAGTGATTCATTAAAGCGGAGACCTCCTTGGAAGCTGGCAGAAGAGGAGGAAAAGAAGCTAATTATGTCTCCCTTTTCTGGGCTCACTCCGACCAGTTTATAATCTGCTGCTTTAGAGGGTGTATCCACGGCATCCTCCGCTTTCTCCCCCAGCCCGCCCCTCCTTCTGGGAGCCAGAGGGGGAGGGAAAACGTCCGCCAGGCGGCAAGCTCCAGGTGGCTCAGAAGCGCTTCTCTGCCAAAGGAAGGGGGGAAAGCTCCTACGCTGGAGAACAAGTGAGAAGGGGGCTCCCCAGAGGGGACCGGTTCAGGCTGGAGGACCGCAAACTTCGGAGAGCCCGAGAGGCAGCTCGCGCCGGCGGCCCGCGCAGCCCGCACGCCGCCGCTTCCCAGCAGCTCGCCGGAGCTGGAGGCGCGGGGCGGAGGCTGCGGCCGCGGGGCCACGGGGAAGGGACCCGGCAGCCCCCAGCTCCGCGGAGGCATCGGGCTCTCTCCTCCTTGCTCCCCTACTCTCCCCCCTCTCGGCCCCCTCCCCCTCCCTCTCCCTGGCGTTCCCAGCAGCCGAGGGTTTCAGATGTCCCACCGCCGTTTGACCCCCCTCCCCCCGCTTCTCCACCCCTGCAAATGAGGTTTGACCAGCAGAGGCAGAGCCCACCTCTGGCTTAGAATCACTGACATTTAGACTCCAGGCTTCAACCTGTTTACAAGCGGGCTTTCCAAAGGAAGGGGGTGGGGGGGGGAGGGAAACAGGGCCAAACAAAACACCAACCGCCATCTCCCCCAAACAAGAAGTGACTTTCTGGAGGCTTCAAATCAACAGGCACCACCAAAAAGAGAAAGCAAGAGGGGGAAGGAGACAACGGCGACCGGCAGCTCGCCTCCAGTTCTGACAACTCCAAACGGACGCGCTTTTAGAACCGGCTAGCAGGCTGGGGCTCTGCGGAGAGGGGCGAGAAGGTGCCAACCCCCGAGAGGCGCAGATCTCTCCCCCAGCCTCCCACCCCGACCTCTGTGGGTTTTGTTCACCGTGCTGTCATCTGTTTTTTAGACTTTTTTTTTTTTTTTTTTTTTTTTTTGCATCTAACATGGTGAAGAAAGGAGTGAAGAAGAGAACAAAGTAACTCCTAGGGGAGTGGAGATCGCTGGTGACCAACACCACCACCGCCACCACCAGCTCCTGCTACTGCGGCCACCCACGTCCACCATTCACCGGGAGACTCGAGAGGCGCACGGCAGCGGATCCGAGAAAGGAGCGAGGAGAGGCAGCCGGCCCTTCCGAGGAGTTATGGATGTTGGTGCATTCACTTCTGGCCAGATCCGCGCCCAGAGGGAGCTAACCAGCGGCCGCCACCTCCAGCTGTCTCCTTGCCTCGCACCAGGTCTTACCCTTCCAGTATGTTCCTTCTGATGAGACAATTTCCAGTGCCGAGAGTTTCAGTACAATGTGGAAATGGATACTGACACATTGTGCCTCAGCCTTTCCCCACCTGCCTGGCTGCTGCTGCTGCTTCTTGTTGCTGTTCTTGGTGTCTTCCATCCCTGTCACCTGCCAAGCCCTTGGTCGGGACATGGTGTCACCAGAGGCCACCAACTCCTCTTCTTCTTCCTCCTCCTCCTCCTCCTCGTCGTCTTCCTCCTTCTCCCCTCCTGCCAGTGCGGGGAGGCATGTGCGGAGCTACAATCACCTCCAAGGAGACGTCCGCTGGAGAAAGCTATTCTCTTTTACCAAGTACTTTCTTAAGATTGAGAAGAACGGGAAGGTCAGCGGTACCAAGAAGGAGAACTGCCCGTACAGTAAGTAACAAACGCGCGCTCCCCTCCTTCCAATTATCCACCCCCCACCCCACAAGGGGGGGAAAATCTGTTCCAGATGTGGCCAGCTAAATATTTACGTCCCCAACCCCTGTAAAATGATTAAGTGGAATACTTTCACACTAAATCACTCCCCCCCATACATTGTGCTGCCGCACCCCCTCTCCTTGGCGCAGCTCCCTCCACACCCCGGACTCTTTGCCACCCCTTCTGCCCCGTCTCTCCGGCTTGTCATTCCCAGGACCACGCAGGGCGCTGGAGAGTTGTTGCTGTGCCTAGATGCCCCCTCTCCGTCTCCATAGCCCTTCCGCACCTCATCTCAAGGTCCCCTCTCCCTCCCTTCTGGAAATGGCTCGAGTAAACACATTTGGTTTCTTTTCGCTGGCAATCTTATTAAGAGTTTTGGGACAGTTTCCTCAAGCTGAAAATAATTATCAGCTGTCAATTATAGGGGCTTTATGGGACCTTTATTTAAGAAAGAAAAGTCAATTCCGCTGGCTCCCCACCCCGATCTCTTTACCCCACTACCTATCTAGACAGGAGTGCAAACGTTTTTCTGGTTCTGATTTCCCCCCCCTCATGTTGGTCTGAGTGATCGCAGTCCATGAAGTCAGCTTTTCAGGCACCACCGCTGCTATTTGTCTTCTGCCTGCCTTCTCTCTTGGTAACATGATGCTCATGTCTGCATTGTCAATGGCATATGCGCTGCTTTGTGGTGTCCTGTTGTACTCCTTTCTTCTGAAACCTCTCATATTGCAGAGCCATACTACTACAGCACTGTAAACATCTGGGACTGGATTCACACAGACCTCACACAAATTTCATTGTCATTCTTTTATTTTCAAAGTAAAAGTCATAAGTCTGTTTCCATGGCTATAGTTTGTCCCCTTGGATGAGGTTTTCTGCTAAGGACGAATTACGCCCTCCGCCTCATCCCTGGATTTCTTTCCATTTTCTTCTCTCTCTTTCCTTCTTTAGCTCTTTCGCTTCTTTCTTGCAGGGCTGTGGGCTGGGTAGAGGGAGGGAGAACTAGAAGAGGAGGGGTGGATATTGTGTCTCTTCTTGAATCAGTCCAGCAAAGCCAGATTATTCCGTTGGCTTCCTTTCCTAGTTACTTTCAAGTGGTGAGACTTATTCACTCTCTATTGATTGCTGTTTGAAAGGATCCTGAGGCTATGTAATGGCACACTGAGGACAGTAGACAATGACATTTAAACATCTTTAATGACCATTTAGCACTATCTCAATGGTCCTTCCAAATTACCCTTTATGTGTCAGTTGTTTGGGAATTTCTTGCCAACTGACTTAAATACAAGGGTTGGACATTCCAAGATACCTTGGCCCAGAAAAGTATCTGGTACTAAGGGGAAAGACAGTTAATCAGAATTTAGCATTCTCTTTTTAAATAAAGATTTATAGGAATTAAGACTTAAGATTTCTTATTTGGGGATCCACATATATTCAGCATTAACTTCTGTTCCTCTTCAGCAGCTGCTTCCATTTACTAAAATTAGCAGTATGTTTAGAAGTAATAAATGTACTTGTGAAAGTATTTTAAAGTATTCCATCTTGTATTTAATATAGAGATGTTAAATAGTCCATTACCTATTTTTTTTCCATTCTGATTCATAGAAAGTGGCTGAAATAATGTCATTTATGATTTTTTTTGTTTGAAAGTCATTTGTTACCTGAATTCATTAGATACTGTGCATAGATGTAATAGTTGTTGATTAAAATTTAATACCTTTGTTCACTTCTAAAACAAAAGAGCTGTGTCATCCAGGTAGGATGATAGGGGAAGAAGTAAGCTAAACACTTGCTAAAGAGTGAGATGGGAGTTTAAAAAGAAAAAAAAAAAAATCCCCATTGACTGAAACCTTGCTTTGTATTTTTAGTTCATGGAGATAAATATATTTTCAAAGTGTTAACCTTGAGTAAAATTCCATTTTTTTTTCCTGACACTAATTTGATTTTGCTATTGGTATATTTTAAGTGTCTTTATAATGTGATACAAGGACCAATCTATACTAGTTTGTTTACGCAACTGAAATTAATATTTTCTAAAATAATAATTGTGTGTGCTTATTTAATAAAATGATTGTCAGGATACACATAGAAGTATATTTTTACAAGACTTATCTGTGAAGAGAAAAGTATATAAGTTTTATTGCATAAAAACTAGTGTGGAAAATTTCCACTTTAACTATCCAAAATATAATAATATCTCTTCCATATGATAAAGTGTAGCAACAGCCCTTGTTAAAATATCATATCTTATATAGTAATGCAATGTTAATTAATGGTTGAAAATGAAAGGGGGTGGGGCTTACTGCTAAATAATGTCAAACCAGAATAATTTAGGCTTTCCAAGAACATCTGTATCAAAACATAGCAAGTGAAAAGTAGAGGTTGAAAAAGTCTTAATTTCACATGTGGCTGGGTAATCAGAACACTGCTACAATTTCCAGCTGGACTGATTCAGCTGAACTACATGGTATCATTAAGATATTGTCTAAATGTTGCATAATTACATGTGAACAAACTTTTGCCATGCCTACAGGGTAACCAGCCAGCCAGCCCACCAAATGGTAGCCTGCTAAATATTAGGGTTTCTGAAGAGTGTCAGTTCCTTGTCCAAAAACCACTTTTCAGTAACATTTTCCTAAACAAGTTATTAATTATTCTCAATATACAAAGCTGTTCTTTTGAGGTTTGCTTATTTGAAGCTTAATTTTCTTTGTTACTTTTGACCTTAGTATTATTGCTGCTAAAATACAATAACAGCTTATCTAAGAGGTTACATGTTTGGGATGTCCTGGGTAATTAAACAACTGCTTTACTGGCTTTTTGCCAGCAAAATACTAACAAAAGGGAAGTAAGGAAATCACCCATAAGCATTGCAAAATCATTTTTAACTTCTACCTCCAAAGCTGGTTCCCAGAAATTGGATGGTTCTAAAAATATTATATGCCTAAAGAAACTCTTCGCAATTTGGGTGATTATAATTTTTTTTTTTTTTTTTTTTTTTTTTTTTTAGTGGAAGAGGGGTGGTTTTGGTTTGCTTCTATGCCATTATATGAAAATAGAATAAAGGGAGCAAAGATGAATTATGTTTTTCAGCTAGAAATCTAAGAAAGCTTGAATAATTTAGAATAGCTGTAGTGTATCTGTCACTAGGTTTGCTTAGGCTCATTTAAGTTTGTTTTATCATTCTTTACATCTAGCGCTTTGCCCTTGAAACATTACCACTCAGCTCCAGTTCTGGCCTCCTAGAAAGGCTGGATACAGCTGTTAGATACCCTTGCAACTGGGACTGGGTAGACTTACTTCTGGATGTGAGTGGACTGTGGGCTTCTCCTACGGTGGTCACTTGTAGAAAAGGGGAGTCTAGTGAAAAGAAAATGTATCCCTAAACTTGAGATTGCCGAGAATGGCTATTCTCAAAACAGAAAGCCACAGTGCTTGGGAGTCTTTGCAGGAAAGGAGCTCCGGAAACAACAGAGAAATCAGTGTAGCATGTGCTTATTTCTTCAAATATATAGATCATTTAACACATCATGGTCCTATAATTAAGGTATAACTACCCATATTTTTTCAAAGATGAAGCTGAAAAAAGGAAATTATCCAAGGTCATTCAACTGGAAACCAAATCTATTTGGTTATTTCTTTTACCTCCACTACTGGCAACATTGATGCCAATAATATTCTAATTAGATGCCTCAAACCTCTAAACAACAAATTCTAAAATGGTAATCACTTCTTGCAATGAACACAGACAGTTCTTCAGGTTCAAACTGGAACAGTAGTAAATTGGGAGAGGAACAGAAATGAAACATGTTCAAGGTATCGTCACTGCGGGTGGCTACATGGTATCAGACAAGGTTAGTGCATTCTCTAAGTGAAATATCTCTTTCGGTATTTTGTTTGGGAATATATCTGCTTATGGAAATACAAAGTACATGTACACAGATCTCATCTCTTGAGCAGGGCATTAGAAATACATGACCATTTAAGAAAAACCCGTGAATGTCATTGTGTATAGTAATTGTTTTACAGCTGAGGGCAAAATGTTTAATTGTTCCCACGTGTAATAAAGTAATTTTTTTTGTAAATACCAGTGTGAAATTGGGCTGTTGCAGAAACTTCTGATATACGACTCTAAAAAGGGCAAAATCGTAGAGACCTCAAGCTATATATGTATATTAAGAAGGCTTTAAAATGAGTCTACAAATCTAAAAGGTATTTTACCACATATAAATGACAAATTACTGTCTAGGATTGAAGGTTTGCCTTATTACTTCTGAATCAGGACTAGGACTTATTATAGGAAGTAAGGGCAAGAAAGTAATTGTTGAGAAAAATAGGGATTTGAATATCATCTCCCAATAAATATACAATGGATTTTTGGAAAGGAAACCTATATACAACTGTTATCTTATTTAAGTTGTGGTCATTTCTAGAGTTTGATTGCATAATTTACAGCTGACAGCACTTAATCATGCGCACTGAGGATTTATGCAGGTGGAAGGCACTGTATTTAATGTTTACATGACACTGTCCTGTTGCCTTTACTGCATTCCTACCATATGGACCCTCCACTTTGATGGCTTTGTTATAAATCCATTTAAAAAATGCACAGTTACAGAGTTTCCTCTTCATAAACCTGATTTATAACCTACTAGAAGAAACCCAAGAAAACAGTTGGCAGAAATCACATGCCATATTAGAGTATGAGAACTCAGAAATGCCAATTTCTAGGTAGGTCTTGGGTATTTTAGGATTCTATTAGGCAAAGGTATGGCCCATTCTTTAAAAACAGGTGTTTTCAAAATGATGATTAAGCACAGAATTTAAAAGAAAAATTGTGTCTCACAGAGCGAAGGAAACTCCATTGCATGCATATTTTCTTCTATACTTTTACTGTCTGGTTTAGAGCAAAAAGGCAGTTCATTTTTTTAGTGTTTAATGAACTTATAGTAGAA